TATCAATTTTGTAACAATTATTTAGTATTTCTTTAGAAAGTTCACACTAGTGACCATAACCATTTGGGAAAAGATCAGTAAAGAGAATAGCTTCTAAATTTGGATCACTAAATTTAATAGGAAGTGTTGTATTACTTGAATTTACAATAAAATCTGCCATTAACCTATTGTAATGATAATCTTCATTATGTATTTTAGGATTAAAATTTTCTGGTAGTACTACTAAATCTGGTCGATGATATAAAGATATATTATTATTTGTTAAATTTGTTTGATTATTAATTAATCAAGCAGAAGAAAAAGGAGCAGGGTTGAGTAGTAAAAATGGGTAAAGTTATTTGATTAAATGGTCTAAATAGAGGATTATTGTTCTTTAACCAATCTGCTGCATATAATAAAGAATCATGAAACCAGTTATTATTAGCAGTAGAATCTAAGATTGCATCTAGTATACCAGAATATAAATATAAAGCATGAATATTTCTTGATAAACCAAAATTCTCAGTGAGGTAACGATAATGTGTAAAATGATTTGAACTTTCTGCATGGCCTAAAGAACAACTTAAATTAATTAGAGAAAGCTACCAGTGATGATACATCAGAACATTACTTAATTCTTCTGGAATTGGAGCTAATGTTGAAGCAGAATGATGCTTTGCAGTAGTTTTACATGATGCACAAACAGCAACATGATTCAGTTTACTAGGATGTTCAGTAAGAGACATAATTGGAAAAGCTCTAAAAAGATCATAACTTTCATTAATATCGAATTCTACCCATGTAGCTTGATTTAGAAATATAAGAATAGAACAATATGAACAGAAAACACATGGAAACATATACAAGATTTCTTTTTGAAAATGATTATTAAGATGACTTAAAGCCCAAGATGGTTGCCATGGTGGAAAGAATGTTGATGTAGAATCTGATTGCAATGCGGTATGTAAAGAAATTATATGCAAAGGATTTTCATTAACATTTAACAGCAAATCTTTATTTAAAAGAATACTAATATTTAATTCATTGTAATTATAA